CAGAGATTATTTGAGAGGAACTGCATTAAACAATGTTTCTTCAATAAGAGGACATGTTTGGGAGATGAACAGAAGTAATTAAGGTACAGGATAGGAGAAAAATAGATTTTTTTTTAAAGTAGAGGGGTCCTTCTCTAACTCACGGGAACCATGTAGATATGCTCATATGTACGGAAGAGGTTTTAGACTATTCCACTTAAAAGTTGTGCCTGGAATTAGACGGAAAGCTAAGATGTCTGCATCATGGGAAAAATGATGAAAGTAAGTAGTGGCTATCAACACAATTGGGAGTACGGTGGCTCTGTAGGACAAACGCTGGACTGCAAACCACAAGGCTGGCGGTTTGGGCCCACTAGGTTCTCCGTGGGAGTTAGAAAACCCTATACGGAGTTGCTGAGTCAAATCAACTCCACAGCACTTAGCAACAATAACACTGGCACAGGCACAAGCATAGTTGTGAAATTGTGAAGCAAAATGTTACTTTTAAAATTTCTTAGCGTCCTGCTGTGACTGGTGCATTTTGAAGGAAGCCCACAGGAGGGCACTGATTCCTTGAAGTGCGATTCAGATCAAACCACAAGGTGGTTTGACAGCCTATCTTCTTTGTAGCCTGAAGGCAGACTGTTGCAGAATTGAAAAGAGCTCTTAGTTTTTGAGTAAGGAGTTCCTGTAAGATCACACTGGACTGGAACCTTATTGGATTTGATGTATTCCAGGGAGTAAGGATTATTTTCTTCATCTCGCAACCAGTATGCTGTCTCCCATCTCAATGCTTACAATCTTCTTATTATTCAGTAAGTGATATTTTCATTTTCCCATGATCATGTTAATCTGCAGCTTCCTTCCCTGACTGAAAACTCTCCTTCTGTATCTCTTTCCAATATAACAAAGCAATTCTTTTTTAGGAAAGACCAATGGAGACTCAGTGACCCAGACAGAAGGCTCAGTTACCCTCTCTGAAGGAGCATATGTGATCCTGAACTGCACTTACCAGAGCAGCTATACAAATGTTTTCCTTTTCTGGTATGTTCAATATCTCAACAAGTCTCCTCAACTCCTCCTGAAAAGTGCAACAGACCGCCAGGGGACAGAGAATGACGGTTTCCAGGCCAGTCTTGTGAAGAGTGAAAAGTCCTTTCACCTGAAGAAACATTCACTCCATGTATCAGACTCAGCTGTCTACTACTGTGCCCTGAGTGACACAGTGAGAAGGAGAGCCCCAGGAGTTCAACACAAACCCTCAGTACAGCCCAGGCCTGGTACAATCACTGGGAAATTAGTGTGTCTCAGCATGTCTTCTCCTAGGCACCTCAGAGAAGTGCAAACAGAAGTTCACAACCTGTACACAACTGTTTCTATCTGCCTTATTTATACTTGACATAAACTGGAAACTACCCAAATATACACCAATAGGGGTATCATAAATAATTATGGCACATCCATACAATGAGAGATTACTCAACAATGGAAAGGCATGAACTACTGAGACATCCCACAATATGAAAGGGTCTCTGAACCTTATGTTGAATAATACAAACCAGATCCCTCCCCACAAAATACTCGATTTCATTTTTATGAGATTTTAGCACAGAGAAAGCTAATAAACGATGATAGAAATAAAGGTGACTTCCTCTGGGAAGGAGGCTCTCACTGGAAAGGGGAATAAAGTAAATTTCCGTTGTTGACGTTAAGTGTCATCAAGTTGGTTCTGACTCCTAGCTACCCTGCATAGCGTTTCTGAGGAGCAGCTGGTAGGTTTGAGCTGCCAACTTGCAGTTAGCAGTCCAGTGCTTAGCCTACAGTGACACACTAGGGCCTAGGGACTCTGTAGGATTACGGAACTATTCCATATATTGGTTTGAATGGTGACTGCACAGATGTATGAAATTCTCAGCTGTCCTTAACATGAACATATAGGATTTGTGCACTTTATTGTAAGTAAAGTATGTTTCAATAAAAATGAACCAAAATCAGAATGAACTAAGCTATAATTAGATAGCACCACTTGTCTGTCAGTTTATCGCACTGTGGTGGCTTGAGTGTTGCTATGATGCTGGAAGCTACGCCGTTGACATTTCAAACACCCGTAGGGACACCCATGGTGAAAGGTGTCAGGGGAATTTCCAATTTAAGACACCAACAGAGTCCTGGTGTGGCGCTGTGGGTTAATGTGTTCGACTGCAAAGTCAGTTTGAACTGTAAGATTGGGGGTTCAAGCTAACCAGCCGCTCCTCAGAAAACCTATGCAGGGTAGCTATGGGTTGGAACTGAGTCAACAGCACTTAACAACAACAACTAGAAATAGTAGTCCTAATGCAGTGCTTAATAACAACAGGAAGAAGGAACAGGTGGGCTACTGAAAAATTAGCCACTGAAACCCTTAAGAATAGCAAGCGGAACAATGTCTGTTATAGTTCTGGAAGAAGAGCCCACAAGTTGGAAGGCTCTCAAATTATGACTGGGGAAGAGCTGCCTACACAAATAAAGTCGACTTTGATGTGGATGGAGCAAAGTTTTCAGGACTTCAAGTACCTATTGATGAAAACCAAAGACTATATATAGCCTTTAGTATGGATTACAACTCAATGTGTAGAAAACAAAAATCCTCAAAACTTGACAAATAAATGGAGAAAAGATTGAAGCTGTCAAGGATTTTATTTTATTTGGATCAACATCCTTGAAAACAGCACTCAAGAAATCAAACAACATATTTCTCAGGGAGAATCTGCTACAAAAGAGGTCTTTAAAGTGCCAAAGAGCAAAGAAGTCACTTTGAGGACTAAGGTGTGCTTGACTCAAGCCATGGTATTTTCAGTTACCTCATATGCGTATGAAGCTGCACAATGAGTAAAGAAGACTGGAGAAGACTTGCTGCATTTGGATTATGATCATGGTGGTCCTGTGGGTTAATGTGCTGGACTGCAAAGTTGGTGTGAACCTCAAGGTCCATGGTTCAAGCTCACCAGCCTCTCCCCAGAAATCCTATACAGGGTCGCTATGGGTCAGAACCTACTCTACCGCACTTAACAACAACAAGAAGCGGAAGTAGGACTACTCCTAGTGTGGTGCTGTAGGATAAGCACTGGGTCGCAAGGTTGTTTGAATTGCAAAGTTAGCAGTTCAAACTCACTAGCCGCTTCTGAGAAACACTGTACAGGGTTGCTATAAGTCAGAACTGACTTGACGGCATTTAACAACAACCACCACCAGAAGAATGAAAAATATTTCTCAGAAAATCTCTAGCCAGCGTGCTCCTTAGAATTGAGGATGGTGAGACTTCCTTTTACATACTTTGAACATGTTTTCAGGAAGGACCAGTTCCTGGAAAAGTGCATTGTGTTTGGTAAAGTAGAGGGTCGGGAGGCCCTTCATGAGATGGATTAACAAATGGCTGCAACAATGAACTCAAGCATAACAAGAGTTGTGAGGATGGCAGAGGACCGGGTATGCTTTGCTCTGTTGTACAGGGTTGCTATGAGTTAGTATCAACCCTATGGCACCTAACAACAACAAGTGCATAAATATGCACCTCCGGAAGTATGTTGCTCTGGTAGCATAGTGGTTACAAATCAGGCTGCAAACCGCAAGGTCAGCAGTTCGAAACTACCAGCTGCTCCGTGGGAGAAAGATGAGGCTTTCTGCTCCTATAAAGATTTACAGCCTCGGAAACCCTGTACAGGGTCACTATGAGTTGGAACCGACTCCAGGGAACTTAACAACAACAACAAAGTATGTTGCTGTCAAGTCCACTCTGACTCATGACAACTCTAGTACAGCAGAAGAAAATGCTGCTAGCTCCTGTATGCCCCTTATAATCGTTGGCATTTTCCAGTCCATCGAATCCATCTTTCCCTCACTGACCCTTTACTTCACCAACAAGGTGTGCCTCTTCATTGATTGATTTTCTTTGGCGATGTGTCCAAAGCAAGCAAGTCAGACAATGTTCCTTTGTGTTCTATAATTTCCATTTTGTGACCCAGGCCAGAATTAAGAAGTAGATCACCAGACCATTCTCCCTAGCCTGTGTTACTTAGTTTAGAAGATCCACTGGAACCTGGTCATCATGCGTGATCCTGGTGGCTTAGTTTCCAGTATCATAGCAACATGGAAACCACCATAATATGGCAAGCTGACTGATGGTCCCATAAGTATAAAGCTAGATAAGGTTTCACAAATTGGAAAAGCCCAGATAACCAGCACTCAAATGGAAAACAGAACATTACCAAAATGCCAGACCATCCTTATATCTGCTCCCTTTCTCTGCCACCCAAAGTAACCGCTTTCCTAATACCTAACAGCAAACATTAGTTTTCTCTGTTTTTATACTTAATAAATTGTATCATTTAGTATGTACTCTTGTGTCTGGTTTTTTTTTCATAAAACCTTTACCTTTGTGAGATTTATTGATGTTATTATATGTGTGGCTATAGACCTTTATTTCTTTATTTCTTCAATCATTTCACTTGTGTTTAGTTAGCCTCTCAGAGAAGACTAAAGTCCAGTAGTATTTGTTGATTCTACATCTCAGAAGCCAGCTATGTGTGACAATCAGAATGTACCAATAAATTCCTGCAACTTCATAAAGCTGGCTAACTTACTTTCCTTAGTGTATAATTTATGTTCTTTTGGTTCACTTTTTAAAAATTGATGTATAGTTTTTCCTACAATGAAATAAACAAGTATTATTTGTTCATTTCAATGAATTCTCACAATCATATACACCTATTTAACAAAAACAATACATAAGGCATTTGCTTAATATCAGAAAGCTCCCTTTTGTCTGTTTAAGTCAAATCCTTCCTCCTAGGAGCAACCACTCTCTGATACTTTCACTACCAGTTGAAGACTAAACATCCCATTTTCTCATAATTTAACAGGAAATTAAGTGTCACTAAATTAATAAATTCATCTAAGGGAAAGAAAGAAAATAGTCAATTAAAAGCTACAGCTAACTGAATCACAACCATAAATCAGCACACTGATATCAAGCAAATTAGTCACCAACTTCTATGCAGCTGAAACAAAGCTACTGAAGGGTTCCCAGGTAGACCCTGGAGCCTCAGCTTCTGTGGCAGTGAGCTGACAGACGTATTTGCAATGATTATTTATCCGATAAGAACATGAAAACGTGTGGTCTGGTAAGTTTGACTATGCTCATCCTGGCAACACCCCTCAGTATTTAAGAACAAGTTTTCCCTACACAGACTTTCTATTAATTGCAGTGAGACATGTGCAACTGGATAAATTTTACCAATCAGGAAAGTTACTGTGAGACCATTAAGCAGATAAGGAACTTCATCTGATGGAATTTCCCCCTGAATCCAATACCTTGTAGTGTAGGATGGAGAATTTATGATGATTGAGAGTGAATAGTTTTATCTTCCTGTCTAGAAGAAAAATCTGTGAGCATATTTCACTGTAGATTTTAGTTGGAGCCAAGACACCATATAAAAAGATGGATGAATATTTGTTCTCAGTAGTCACCAAGGCCCATAATAAATCACACTTCTTATGAGACTCGTAAAGTCCATCTTAGATGCATTGCCTGGATATGGCAAATGGTTGCATCACTAATGCCCTTCAGTTTAATGTAATTCATGTACATTGTACAGATATAATTGTTACCCAATGAGACAAGAAAAACAAACCCTAAATCCTAACCCACTGGTGTTGAGTTGATTCCGAATTATAATGACCCTATAGAACACAGGAAACTGCTCCAAAGGGTTTCTGAGACTCTGAAGTTTTATGTGAGTAGATAGCCTCATCTTTTTCTCATGGAGAGGCTGGTGGGTTTATACTACTGACCTTATAGTTAGCATCCAACCACACCTAATGCAGGGCTCCTTATGAGACCAAATACGTATATACAAATCTCACGATTGGAAGAAGCCAAGGCAAGACACGAGAAAGCTGCTATGGGCAAATTGCATTTCCTGTTCTTGTGCAGAAGCGTCTTAGTGCTCAGTGATTGTGCAAGTGTCCTTTCAGATACATGACTGGGAGACAAAACACAGTGCGTTTAACTTAGGGGAAGAACTGTCAACATGCTGCTCTCCAAACTGCTGAGGGCACTCCTAGCCTCCATCTGTCTTGGTAAGGATGGCCACCAACACAGGACTCAGGGTCCTCTCAGCTGCCAACTTTGCAGGGAAAGGCAGGTTTTTATTTTCTCATAGGTAAGGTAGCAGTCAGGGAAATCCGTGCTCTCAGTCCTGCATCTTCTTACCACACTAAGGTGGGGCCACCAAAAAAAATCAGTCTAATTCTCTTTTTTTCTTTCAGGATCCAGCATGGCCCAGAAGGTAACTCAAGCCCAACCTGCAATTTCTGTGTCGGAGAAGGAGTCAGTAACCTTGAAATGTGCATATGAAGTTGCGACATCAGATTTCTATTTATTCTGGTACAAACAAACACCAACTGGGAAAATGATTTTTCTTATTCGTCAGGAGTATTATAATGAGCAGAATGCAACAGAGGGTCGGTATTCTCTGAACTTCCAGAAAGCAACCAAATCCATCAGCCTCACCATCACAGTCTTACAGCTTGAGGACTCAGCAGTGTATTTCTGTGCTCTGAGAGATACCACAGTGAGGTGGGTACTTGGAGGAGTCCTACAGAAACCACAGAACTCTGCAAGAGGCATCCCTATACTGTGGACACCTGGGCAAGAATTACAGTACAGTCAGGAAGAGGCAGGGCTCTGTCTGTAGAGATGGGGGCCTAGAAGGGGAACACTTGACTTTAGAAAATACACTGCCTCTCTTGCTCAGAAGTAGCATTTTACTTGTATGTAGGAAGTCTCATTTAGGAGTTCTGGTTTCATAGTGGAGTACAAGCTGGGCTTCTAACTCAAAGGTCAGCAGTTCAAATCTACCAGCTGCTTCAAGAGAGAAAGTAAGGCTCTCTGCTCCCGTAAAGATTTATAGCCTTGGAAACCCTGTACAAGGTCATTATGAGTTGGGACCGACTCCAGGCACATAACCACCACCAGAATTACTTTTCATAAAAAGCATCATGTAGTAAAAAGATTTATAAACAAGTGTGCACGTGTGTGTGTTGATTACGTTAAAATAGAACTGACTTAGAAAATTTGGAAACAACTGGCCAAATCTACACCTAAATTATAAGATTATGCAGGCTTACTCCATAAATATTTATGCATTGCTATTAAATCTTGACACTGTCTTAGATCTAAAATATCCATGAAATCACTCTGAGACATTATGATATTGTTATATTAGTTTTACTAATTTGTTAAATTGTTACATTTAATTGAGGATTGTATGCTGGTTTGCTCTTAGGCACTCACTACCTGTCTCCTGGTGAGTGTGTCTACAGTTCTTCGTTAGATGCTTGTGTAGCAATGTTGAAGGCAGGTTTAGCTTGTATTGGCTGCTGTCTACCAATGATCAGATGGCTGTTGTTAGGTGCCATCGAGTCAATTCCAACTCATGGTGACCCTATGCACAACAGAAGGAAACACTGCCCAGTCCGGAAGCATCCTCATAATTGTTGTTAAGCTTGAGCCCATTGCTGCTGCACTTTGCCAATCCATCTGGTTTAGGAACATCCTTTTTTTCACTGACCTTCCATTTTATCAAGTGTGATGTCTTTTTCCAGGGAAAGATCTTTCATGAGAACATGTCTGAAGTATGAGACATGGAGTTTTGCCATCCTGACTTAGAAGGAGTACTCTGGCTGTACTTCTTCCAATAAAGATTTGTTTATTCTTATTGTTGTTGTTGTTAAGTGCTGTCAAGTCAGTTTTGTAGTTCAAACTGACCTTGCAGTGCATTAACCCACAGTGCATTAACCCACAGTGCCATACCAGAACTCTCTCCAACACCATAACTCAAATGCATCAATTCTTCTATGGTCTGTCTTATTCATTGTGCAAGTTTCACATGAATAATAGGCTGTCAAAAACATCATGACTGAGGTCAGGAACACCTTAGTCTTCTAACTGACATCTTTACTTTTGAACACTTTAAAAAGGTCTTGGGCAGCAGATTTGACTAATGCAATACATCATTTGATTTCTTGATTGTTGCTTCTATGAGTGTTGATAGTGGATCCAAACAAAATGAAATCATGTACAACTTCAAGTTTTTCTCCATTTATTATGATGTTATTTGTTGGTGCAGTGGTGATGAGTTTGATTTTCTTTACATTGAGCTATAACCTATACTGAAGGCTGTTGTCTTTGATCTTCATCAGTATTTTAAATCCTCTACGCTTTCAGCAGGAGTCCTGGTGTGGTGCTGTGGGTTAATGTGCTGGATTGCAAAGTCGGTTTGAACCACAAGGTCAGTGGTCCAAGCTTATCAGCCACTCCTCAGAAACCCTATGCAGGATCTCTATGGGTTGGAACAGACTGGATGGCACTTAACAAAAATGACAACAATGTTTTCAGCAAGTAAAGTTTGTCATTTGCATATGTCAGATTGTTAATGAGTTTTTCTCCAATCTCAATGCTGCCTTCTTCTTCATATAATCCAGTTTCTTAGATTTTTTGCTTAGCATACAGATTGAATAAGTACATTGAAAAAAAAATACAACCCTGATGCATACCGTCCCTGATTTTAAACAATTCAGTGGACCCTTACTCTGTTCAAATGACTGCTTCTTGGTCTATGTACAGGTTCCTCATGAGCACAATCAAGTGTTCTGGAATATCCATTCTTTGCAATGTGGTTCACATCTTGTCATGATCCACACCATCGGAAGCCTTTGCATAGTCAATAAAGTACAGGCAAACATATTTTTAGTATTTTCTGATTTCAGTCAAGAGCCATCTGACATCAGCAAAGATATCCCTCATTCCATGTCCTTGCTTGAATATGGCTCGAACCTCTGCCAGTTCCCTGTCAATGTACGGTTGCAACTGTTTTTGAACAACCTTTTGCAAAATTTTACTTTCATGTGATATTAATAATATTGTCTGATGATTTCCACAATTGTCTGATGATTTCCATAATCTCTTTGGAAGGCACATAAATATGGATCTCTTCCAATCAGCTGGCCAAGTAGCTGTCTTCCAAATTTCTTGGAATAGATGAATGCGTACTCAAATGCTGCAATAGTTTGTTCAAAAACTTCAATCTCTAGACCCCGTTCTTTGCCAATGCCTTCACTACACCTTGGACTTCTTTCTTCAGTATCAGTGGCTCTTGATTAGATGTTATCTCTTGAAATGGCTGAACATCAACCATTCCTTTTAGGTACAGTGACTTTTATTCCTTCTATTTTCTTTTGATGGCTTCTGCATTGTTCAATATTGTACCCATAGAATCCTTTATTATTGCAAGTTGAGGCTTGAATTTGTTTCTTCAGTCATTATAATAGTAAATACTGGAGTCCTGGTGTGGTGCTGTGGGTTAATGCACTGCATTGCAAGGTCGGTTTGAACCACAAGGTTGGCAGTTTAAGGTCCCCAGTTTATACAGGATTACTATGAGTCAGAACTGACTCATCGACACTTAACAGCAACAGCAGTACTGAATAATGGTTCTTGCTCAGTAGTTGAGGAGGCAGGCAGTATGGGTGTGCCTGCGCCAGGTGGGCTTAGTTGTTGTCTCTGATTGGGTGGGACAAGAAAAACAAAGAAAGAAAAAAAGAGAGAGAAACAAAAACAAACAACATAAATAAAGGGGAGAAAAAAAACAAGTGGGGGAAAACCAGCAAATAACAGCAAGAAAACAGAATTTAGTAATTAAAAAGAAAAAAGGAAGACAAGGGAAAAGAAAAAGAATGAAAAACGCAGTAAGTAAAATTTAGGTGAAGGTGAAGAACTGAGAATAGTAAAGAAAAAAACGAAGAGACAAAAAAGTAAGAAGGAAAGTGGAAATAGAAAACAGAAGAAAAGAAAGAAAAAATAAATAAAAAGCAAAGAAAGGGAAAGAAAAGAAGAGAAAAAATGAAGGAGAAAAATGGGGTTGGGGAGGATCTAAAGAGGAGAAGATTGTAGAGAGGCAGGTTTGGGCACCCAGTATGGGTCAGTAGCCGCTACCAGCTAAGGAACTAACTCATGGGGTAGGAGGGGAGAAGGGAAGGAGTCTGGCATAAGGTCCTAGATGGAGTTTTTGCAGGCATAGATGTTGTCTGGATGGAGCTCTGGCAGCGTAGTGGTTACGAATTGGGCTGCGAACCACAAGGTCAGCAGTTCGAAATTACCAGCTGTTCCGTGGGAGAAAGATGAGGCTTTCTGCTTCTGTAAAGATTTACAGCCTCGAAAACCCTGTACAGGGTTGCTATGAGTCGGAACCGACTCCACGTCACATAACAACAACAACAGGTGTTGTCCAGAGTCAGGACACCAGATCTGGAAGCAGTTCATGCCAGCTCCTGATGAAGATTGTATGCTAGAATTTTGCAAGCCCAATGACTTCTTCACTGCAAATATCATTTTTAAACAACATCAAAGATGATTCTACGCATGGACTTCATCAGATGGAATATGGAGAAATCAAATTGACTATATCTATGGAAAGATGGTGGAAAAGCTCCTTGTATCAGTCACTATAAGGCCAGGGACAGATAATGGAACAGACTATCAATTACTTATATGCAAGTTCAGGCTGGAGCTGAAGAAAATGAAAATAAGTCCATGAGAGCTAAAATATGACCTTGAACAAACCCCACCTGAATTTACAGATAATCTCACGTACTTTGGACATGCTAACAGGAAGGACCAGTCTCTAAAAAAGAACATTATGCTTGGTAAAGGAGGTCAGTGAAAAAGACTAGAGGCCCCAATGAGATGAACTGACACATGACTGCATCCCTGGACTCAAACATCACAGTTGTGCGAATGGCCCAGAACCAGCAGTGTTTCATTCTGTTGTCCATCGGGTCTCTGTAAGTGAGACTTGACTCAACAGCACCTAACAATAACAATGGGTTATCCAATTCTCAAAGAAAAATAAACAATATGTTGATACTCTAGTGCAAAAATCCTGCGTAGCTTATTTTTTCTTGTTGAGTGGGAAAAGGGGTGAAATGAAACAGAAGTTGTGAATCTGAAAGTTAATGCTTTTTTATTTGGATGTAGCTAACAGGGACAGGGTGTGCTATTGGTACAAGTTCAAAGAGAGCACATATAAATGATGTATAATTCAACATGATAAATTCATGTTCAGTGACAAAATTTATCTTAAAAACCACTGATATGTTAAACATATGTTCTGTGACAAAGTCTAGAGGACGTGCTGTCCAGTCAATTCTGATCCATAGCAGCTCTATAGGACAGAGTTGAATTGCCCATAGGGTTTCAAGGTTGTCAATCTTTATGGACTCAGATTGTCACATCTTTGTCCTATGCAATATGCAAGAGGATTCGAACCACTGACCTTCTAGTTAGCAGCCTAGCATTTCACCACAGGGCTCCTTGTGGTGTGTCCTAGACTAAGGCAAATTAAGCAGTAGCAGTTTTGCCATTCATACATATATACTTATCAATTTCTATATTCTTAGAAAAATAGTTTGCAATTTAAATTAAGACATTATTGAGGTTAAATTTTATGAAGCAAATGAAGTCTAAATGCAATAGCTCTTATTTTTTATAGCAACGTGGCACTGTCTTAAATATGGATACCTTGACATTTAAAAATATTTACTTGGAACTAGAAATGCTGATTCTAACATTCAAATGAAGACTCATAATGCTGGAAATCTGAAACAATTTTTAAACAGAAGAATAATGGAGGGTGAATGATGGGATGAAAACAGGAAACGGAACTTCAGACATAAAATACTATTATAGAGTTGGAATGACTAAAAACAGTTGGTACTAGGAAAAGTACACTGAACAGGTTGATGGAAGAGAAGAGACAAGACAGGAGTAGATTCAAATTACATACAGAAAAGTACTGTACTGCAAAAGTAATACTAACCAGAGGGAAAAAATATGGATTATTCAACAGATATGTTGGGATCATTGGCTAGCCACTGTAAAAAAAAAAAAAAAAAAATGAACCCTTACCTCACTTCTTGTTGCTGTTGGTTGGCACCATAGAGTCAATTTTTGACTTATGGAAATCAGTGTGACAGAATAGAACTGCCACATAGGGTTTTCTAGGCTATAACTTTACCTGAGCAAGTTACCAAATCTTTAGATCAAAATAATTCCAAATTCACCAAAACTATAGAGTTACAAGGTTTAATCCTGAACATACCAGATATGTTTAGATTTCAAAAAAATCTTGGAGTGGGTCAGATTTTCTAAGCCAGGCCACAACTTCAGAAGGCATGATAAAGGTGAACACATTCTCTACATAAGAATATATAAAAACAAACATTTCTCATGGCAAAAACGCCATTAAAAAGGTAAACAAAACAAGCCCCTAAGTAGAAAAGGGAGCACAGTGGCTCTGTAGGATAAGCACTGGACTGCAAACCACAAGATTGGCGATTTGAGTCTACCAGTTGCTCCATGGGAGGAAAATGAGGCTTTCTGCTTCCACTAAGATCTACAGTCTTGGAAACCCTATACAGGACTGATATGAGTCAGAATTGACTGAAAGACACTTAACAACAACAAGTAGAACAAAATGGTTCAAAACATAGAGAAACATTACCTTAATATATAAAGAGCTTTTGCAGATCAATAAAAATTAACTTTCTCAAAGAAAATTGACACTAATAATAACAGCTAGTATTGCGTCCTGGTGTGGTGCTGTGGGCTAATGCACTGGGTTGCAAAGTCTGTTTGAACTAATAGGTTGGTGGTTCAAGCTCACCAACTGCTCCTCGGAAACCCTATACAAGGTCGCTATGGGTAGGAACCAACTCGACGACATTTAACAACAACAAGTATTGAGTGCTTCATATATTCTATGTTCTACATTTTTTCTATCTATATATGTGTCCAGGTGTAGCTCTGTAGTATAAGCACTGGATTGCAAGGTCGATTTTGAACCGCAATGTCTGCAGTTCAAACTCACCAGCTGTTCCTCAGAAACTCTATGTTGATTGGTCGCTGTGTTTTGGAACTGATTCAATGGTACTTAACAGTAACATATGTGGGTAGGTGAATAGGTATATAATCTAAGTATCTCTATTTTTCATTTATCTATTTACTCTATCTCAATCAATAAATATACAGATAGAAAGAGAAAGAACAAATTGGTCTCTCTGTCTCAACATATATTACAAATGATTCTCACAAGAATTCTATGAGATGAATAATGTTCTTTCTCCATTACTGAGATGAAAAACTGAGTCACAGAGAGAGTCACTGAACAACTTGTTCAGAATCACACAGCAAACACATCATAGATTTGAAGTGTGATTCCAGGTATTCTGAGTCCCAAACAAGCACTTAAACATCACTTTCAACAGACTGTTGAAGGATAGACATTTAAATAGATTTTTAGTTTATGTTTATGATTCCAGCTTCACCCTTAATAAATAGAAACAAAACCTGATACTTTGAATGAGCAGTTCTCACCTATTAAATTGAAAGATAAAGCTGTTTGATAATAAAATGTGTTGGCAAGGGAGTGGAGAAATAGACTAACACATTGCAAATGTGCAGATTGCTATTGCTTGTTTAAAAACATTTCGGCAATATTCATTAAGTGACAAAGGCATGTATCCCTTTTAGTGGTTCTTCTTAGTTCAGTATTTTTATATGCTTGTTGGTGTTGGCTAATGCGCTTGTACAGGATATTTATTTTTAACATAATTTGTCTTAATAGATTGGAAACTTAAACTTGCAAAAATACAAACTGCTTAATTAAAATATGACACATCTATAGAATGGTATACTATGTAAGTGTTAAATAAAAGAGAATCTTGAATCAATATTTTGAGTGGAAACAAGCAAGGCACAGAACAGAGTAAACAGGTTTATCTGAAAATATCTGTGTGTGAGAACACAGCAAAATAGAATAGTTGCTTTTATGAATGAGAGCTAGGGTCCTTAAGGTCAAATAAAGAAGTAAAACTTACTTACACTGCAATCGATTTTATTGTGTGACATGTTTATATTTGCATGGACAATAACCAGCCCCCCTCATACATACTCACAGTGACTTCTGAGTCTCTCTGAAGTCCATAAGTGGCTAACTCTTTTTACCCCTCTGACATGCTCTTCTCTCCCGCTTTTCTACGATTTATCGATTCCTGGTGTGGCACTGTGGGTTAATGCGTCAGACTGCAAAGTCGTTTGAACTGCAAGGTTGATGGTTGAAGCTCACCAGCTGCTCCTTGGAAACCCTATACAGGTTCGCTATGGGTCGGAATCTACACGATGGCACTTAACAAAAACTTCAGGTATGTGGATTCCGCACACTTGGTCTTTTGTCTGTGTTGTTAAGTGCTTTCCTTCGAGTCGGTTCCAATACAGAAATCCTATATAGCGACGCTGTATTCGTCAGCGACGCTGAAGAGCGGCTGATGAATTTGAACCACCAACCTTGCGGTTCAAAGTGACCTTCCAGTCAAGTGCTTTATCCCATAGTGCCACAAATAGGACTCCAATTACTCACAGTAATGGATTTCTTTATGTTCCTAATTCTCTGCCCACTGTATCAAAGGAGTTTCTAAACATATTCACAATCTATTTGATTCTCCCTTTTTTCCCCAGAGCTTTAAGGTTGCATATGCTCAGCTTCTTGTGTTCTTTAAAGAGAAACTGCACCTACCACTTTGGTTCAACTAAATTATAATTTCTGGTAGCTGCTTGGCTTGAAGGTCATTTAAAGAGCAATGAAATATTTAAAAGTGCAACCAAGACAAAGCTTTTCTTAATACTACTTTAAACGTGATATGCACTATGCCTTCCAAATATGAACAGTGTTCTTTCCTCATTTCTTTTTCTTCTTTGTAGGTGGCATGAAGTGGCTACCGATGAGGTTGGGTGTGTAGCCACAAGGTGGCAGTGGTTCCATTTCCTTAATTTCCCAGATGCCTTAAATTTCAAAAGCATGAACGCTTGCACTGATTGGCTGAGTCTCCAACAGGAAGGTTATCTTGTGCACTGGAGAACAAAAACTACGACTCAGAAACAGCTACTCTAAGAAGAGAAGGTTTGAAATCCCAAACAGTATCAAGACTGGGATATCAAGATGAAGGAAATCCTGGGATATGCATTAGCAGTCTTGTGCCTTCAGTTTGGCTGTAAGTTGGAGGCTATTGTTAGGTGCTGTGGAGTGCATTTTTTCATTCATAGTCATCTCCTGTTACATAGTAACCCATAGGGTAGATCTATAGAGTAGCCCCATAGGGTTTTCATGGCTGTAATCTTTATGGAGGAGTCCTGGTGTGGCGCTTTGGGTAAGTGCACTGGCCGGCAAAAACACTTTGAATCATGAGGTCAGTGGTTCAAGCTCACCAACTGCTCCTCAGAGACCCTATACTGGGTTGCTATGGGTTGGAACCTACTCGACAGCATTTAACAACAATGACAATCTTATGGAAACAGATCTTTGGTTCTTTATCCCGTAGATCCACTGTATGGATTTGAACATTTACCTTTTCAGTTAATACCACCAAGGCTCTTTAAATTGGAGATGAGAACCCTATGGGTACATTCATTCAAAGTTGGAGAAAAGAGAGAGGGTCTTAATTCATCCCGAGTTTCCTGTCAGGTGTTTTTAAAACTGCTGAACTAAACACTTTGTGTCATTTCTGATTTTGTTTTCCTGACCAGGGTTAAATGGAGAAGATCAAGTGGAACAGAGTCCGCAGGCACTGATAATCCAGGAGGGAGACAATCCTAGTCTCAACTGCAGTTTCTCGGTCAGCAATTTTAGAGGACTACAGTGGTATAAGCAAGAGCCTGGGAAAGGCCCTGAATTGCTCTTCCTCTTGTATTCAGTTGGGGATGAAAAGCAGAAAGAGGGACTGAAAGCAACATTATCAAAAAAGGAAAGTTCCCTGCACATCACAACCGCTAAATCTGAAGACTCAGCTACCTACCTTTGTGCTATAGACACAGTTCTCCCCAGGCACCTGCAGACTATACCAAAACTCTACAGCTGGGGCTGTGGAATAAATGCCACAAACAGCTCTGGGTCTTTTCTCCTCAGAGAACGGAGTGTTTCCTCAGCGCCTAGAACCTCTTCCTGAGGGGTCCTATGGAAAACAAAGGCTCAGATAAAGATGCACATTACTGTCCATTCTATCCAGGTTCCCTGCACAGTCCCTTTGTGCACTATGTTAGTGAGAGTGCCAGTACATTCACCAACAACTAGGTTTTTGTTGTGGTGGTTTTAACTGAAGCCATTCTGCTGATGTAGTATTTTCTCATTGTGGTTTTAATTTGCTTTCCATGAAGAATAATGATGCTTAGCACATTTTCATGTGTTCATTGACTGTCTGAATATTCTTTTCTGTTCCATTCATGTGCAAGTTTTTGCTTATGTTTACATTGGGATATTATCTATTTTTCATTTGTAGGTACTCTTTATACATTATGAATATGAACTCTTGTCAAAAACATGGAATGTAAATATTTAACTAATCTGATGCTTGATTGTTCGCTTTCTTAAATGGCACTGTAGGACAAGCACTGGACAGCAAAGTGGTCTGTACTGCAAGGTCAGAAGTTCAAACTCACCATCTGCTGCTTGGAAAACCTATACAGGGTCACTATAAGTTGGAACCTACTCGATGCCACTTAACAACAACAACAACACACAAAATAAATAATAAATAATACTAACGTTCAACAATTCAATGTCTTTCTTTCATGGCTAGTATGTTTCTTGTTAGAACCTTAGCCTTATTCCAAGGCATGGGAATGTGTAGTTCACTTAGGTGTGTATTCTACTTTAAGTCAATTTTTGTTATGGTGTGAAATAGAGTTTCATGGCCAACCTTGTGTTTCATATTGACCTTGTAGTTTAGCGCATTAACCCATAGTGCCACACCAGGACTCCATATACCATCATGGTGTTGTTGTTAAGTGCCGTGAAGTTGGTTCCGACTCATAGCGACGCTGTACAGGGCTTCTGAGGCTGTAAATCTTTATAGGAGCAGAAAGCCTCATCTTTCTCCTATGGAGCAGCAGTTTCAAACTGCTGACCTTGTGGTTCGCAGCCCAATTCATAACCACTGCGCTACCAGAGCTCCTTATATTTGATCATAGAGATGTTCAATTGCTCCATCACTATTTAATGAAAAGACCCTCTTTCCCCCACTGAACTACAGTGGCTCTTTACACAAATCCAGTGACCATATACATATACGTGGCTCTATTTCTGGTCTCTGCATATTATTTCATTTGTCTGTTAGTTAGTACATATTTCCACCTATATATTTGTTGTTGTTAGATGTTGTTGTGTTGGTACCAACTCATAGCTACCTTATGCATAGCAGAACAAAACCCTGTCCATTCCAGCGCCAACCTCAGAGTTGCCAAGCTTGAGCTCGTTACTGCTGCCACTGTGCCAATCCATCTCACTGGGGGTCTTCCTCTTTTTTGCTGACCCTCCACTTTACCAAGAATGATGTCCTTATCCAGAGACTAGTCCCTCCTGATTATATGTCTGAAGCATGAGAGATGAAGTCTTGCCATCCTGATCTCTAAGGAACATTCTTGTTGAATTTCTTCCAACACAAATTTGTTTGTTCTTTTGGTAGTCCTTTGTACTTTTAATATTCTTCTTCAACATCATAACTCAAATGCATCAATTCTTCTACGGTCTTCTTTATTCACTGTCCAACTTTCACATGTATATGAAGTTATATAGAAAATACCATGGTCTGGGTCAGGTTCACTTTAACCCTCAAACTGACATCCTGGCTCTTGAACATTTTAAAGAGGTCTTGTCCAGATTTGCCTATTGGAATAAGTTGTTTGATTTATTGACTGCTGCTTCCATAATTGTTGGTGGTTGATCTGAGTAAAATGAAGTCTTTTTGTTCAGCTTTTTTCGTCTTCATTTCTTCTATCTCTACTCTAGTGGGTAAGTTTCAGAGTCTCTTCTTCCATCCATTTGGGTCTTTTATTTCTTCCTTGTCTTTAATGACCTTTTGCTTTCTTCCTATATGATGTTCTTAATGTCATCCCACAACTCTTCTGGTCTTCAGTCTTTAATGTTTGGTGCATTAAATCAGTTCTTGAGATCTCTAAATTTAGGTGGGATATGTTCAAGGTCATATTTAGGCTCTTGTGGACTGGTTTTAATTTTCTTCAGGTTTAGCCTGAATTTACATTTTAGCAATTGTTGGTTTGTTCCACAGTCTGCCCTGGCCTTGCTTTAGCTGATGATATGGAGCTTTCCCACCATCTCTTTCCACAGATGTAGTCAATTGATTTATGTATATTCCATCTGCCGAGGGCCATATGTACAGTTGTCTTTTGTGTTATTTTGAAAAATATTTGCAATGAAGAATTCATTAGTCTTGCAAAATTCTGTTGTATGCTCTCCAGCACCATTTTTATCACCAAGACCATATTTTCCAAATACTGATCTTTCCTCTTTGTTTCTAACTTTGCATTCTAATCACCAGTAATTATCAATACACTGTGATTGCATGTTTGATCAGTTTCAGACTGAGGAAATTGGTAGCATTCTTAAATTTCATCATCACTGGCTTCAGTGGTTGGTGCATAAATTTGAATAATAGTTGTTTAGCTAGTCTTCCTTGTAGGTGTATGAATATTAGTCCATCACATACAGCGCTGTACTTCAAGATAGATCTTGAAACATTCTTTTTGAAGAGGAATGCAGTGCCATTCCTCTTCCATTTGTCATTCCCAGTACAGTAAACCATGTGAGTGCCAGATTCAAAATCACCAATACCAGCCCATTTTAGTTCACAAATGCCTAGGATATCAGTGTTTATGTGTTGCATTTCTTTTTGGACAACTTCCAGTTTTCCTAGATTCATACTTTTTAAATTCCATGTTCTGATTAGTGATTAATGTTTACAGCTATTTCACCTCATTTTGAGTTATGTCCTATCAGCAAATGAAGGTCCCCAAAACTTTGCTTATTTTCGTTAAAATGGTCAACTCTACTTTGAGGAGGCAGCTCTTCCCTAGTTGTATTTTTAGTGCTTTTCAAGCTGAGGGGCTCATCTTCTGGCTCTACATCGGACAATATTCTGTTGCTCTTCATTATGTTTCAATAGTCAATATTCTGGTGCCATCTGACAGTGTTCTACTGCTATGCATACGTTTTCAGTGACTAAATATTTGGAAGTAGCTCATCTCTTCTTCTTCCTAATCTGTCTTAGTCAGAAGCATAGCTGAAACCTGTCCAACATGGGTGACTGCTGATATTTAAAATACCAGTGGCATAGTTTCCAGAATCACAGCAACATGCAAGCCATCACAGTACAACAATCTGACAGACGAGTGGTGGATCTATGCTATAATGTGCCTATAAATGTATGGTGATAATAGTGTGTCATTGAGTCAGTTCTGACACATAGTGACCCTGTATAGGGTTACTGAGGCTGTAAATATTTATGGGAGCAAAAAGCCTCATCTTTCTCTCTCCGGCATGGCTAATAGATTTGAACTACTGACCTTGTGGTTTACAGCCCAATGCATAACCACTATGCTACCAGAGCTCCTTTGTAAATTTATAAGTATGTTTTTTTTATAGTATGATTTTTCTTCATTTTTATTGTTGTCAATATTGTTGCCCTTTGTGATTTCTTACCAATTTTTAGAATCATATTTGAATTTCCACAAAACATTAGCTACAATTTTGCTCCTATTGCCTCCCTGCCCAAAGGGATTCAATCTATGTATCCAAAATTGATAGCATGTGAGTTTTCATGCCCTAAGTATAGAGTATCTCACAATTTATTTAGGTCATCTTTTTCTAAGCAATAACTTTAGTTGTCAGTGTAGTGCTTTGTGAGAATCCTAGTAATAATTTCTCCCAAATCCTAGTTATGATTTCATGCTATCTTAAGTGTTTTTAAATGTTTTCTTTACTATTGTTTCTAATGTATATTGTTAATATTCAGTGCCATCATACTAGCTTCCACTCATAACAACCCTCTGTCCTCCCAGTCCTGTGCCATCCTCACAATTGTTGGTATTCTTGAGATCATTGCTGCTGTCATTGTGCCAATCCATCTTGTTGGGGGTCTTCCTCTTTTTCTCTGACCCTTCACTTTAAAAAGCGTGATATCCTTCTCCAGAGACTGGTACCTCCTGACAAGGTGTCTGAAGTATGAGAGATGAAGTCTCACCACACTGGCTTCTAAAGAGCATTCTGGCTGCACTTCTTCCAATGCAGCTCTGTTGGTTCTTCTGGTAGTCCATGGTGCATTCAATATTCTTCTTGAATACCGTAACTCAAACATATCGATTCTTCTACTGTCTTCCTTATTCAGTGTTCAACTTTCCCATGCATATATCATTGCTGCTTTTATTAAGTGCCATCAAGTTGGTTTCTACTCTTAGCCACCCTGTATAGTGTTTCCAAGGAGCGGCTGGTTAGTTTGAACAGCTAACTTTGTGGTTCAAACCGACCATGCAGTCCAGTGCTTTATCCTATAGCACCACACTTGGACTCCACATGCGTATGAGGCTAATGAAAATACCATGCATGGCTTGGGTCAGATGCACCTTAGTCCTCAAACTGATACTTTTAATCTTTAACATATAAAGAGGTCTTGTGTAGCAGAATTGCTTAATATAATATGTCATTTGAATTCTTGGCTGCTGTTTCTGTAGGTATTTATTGTATATATTAGAACCCGAATATGCTATGTTCAGCTAACTTGCTAAATTTACTTGTTAATTCTAATGATTAATGTATTTTTTATAATTTTCTACATCACACTCATGTCATCTGCAAATAAAGACAGTTTTGTTAAGTGGTTTTTTCCCCATGTTAGCCCTTTGGGCTATTGTAGGGGAGAAAAGAACCCCATCTTCAAACATATAAATATTATGTTGTTGTTGTTAAGTGCTGTAGAGTTGGTTCTGACCCATAGCAATCTTATACATGGTTTCTGAGGAGCAGCTGGTGAGCTCAAACCACCGACCCTGTGGTTCAAACTGACTTTGCAGTCCAGCATATTAATCCACAGCACCACACCAGGCCTCCATCTAAATATTATAGAGACTCTTTATTAAGTCTTGTTGTTGTTGTTAC